AAATGTCTATTATAATCACAGAAAATTTCGGCATTTCATCACTATTTCTTCCTAAGTTATAAAACTTTTCCGTTCTTAAGGAAAAGCGATAAAAACTATATGTCAATAAATTTTTTGAACAAAGACAGTTTGGGTTGCTGGGCTGGTTGGCCGTTCATTCTGATGAACAACATCATCAGAGAAAACGTTGTCGCCCATCCGCCGCGCAGAGGCCTCCCACCTAAGACACTTTTTTTAAATTTGTTTTTGCCTATAAGGCGTTGAACAAATATTTTGTGTAAACAGATAAAAAGAATTTTATAACTTAGCAAGGAATAATGATGGAAGCCCGAAATTTTCTGTGATTATAATAGACATTTAGTACAAAAAGAATGTTCAGCCTTTCATACCGTGTTTTCATCGAGTTATAAAATTTTTAATAATTTACGTTATATGATGTATGGACAAAATAAAAACATTCATAACCTTTGAAAGAAGCAACATGAACTCAAATCCTTTTAGGGTTCTTACCAGGACTCTATATAATATTTATAAATAAATGATCATTGAAATCGGAGTTGGATATCTGGAGAGGTTTTCTCGTTACTTATATTGCACAATCGTTCAATTTTTCACGTTTCCGATCAAACAACAATAGAAAAACGGCGACTGAAATACCACCTTTTTAATAATTCAGTTACAGAAAATGTAAAATATCGACTTTTATTTTTTTGCTGATAATTATATAAGGATTATGTTAGGTGTGGTTTTCTGGAACGAAGGGAAACTTTTTTCTCCTCGATCACATCTTATGCCCGCAGAATGAATCGTTAAAGTGGTATATTATTTTACCTGCAACAATAGTTCCATTAGTTCCGCTGGTTGAATTGGAGAAAAATTTTAAAACTACATTATTTACTGCGTCTGCAACATAAAATGTGCCACTATTTTCAGCATATACACCGTACGGATAATTAAAGTGATCTGGTGCGCCAGCAGGCACATCTTCTACACCGGCAACAATTATACCATTTCCTGTTGCATTAATGGATTTGCGTACAACAGAATTATCAAGGTCAGCAAAATATAACGTTCCATCACTAATAACATAAAGACCCGTAGTAGCGCCACTACCAGTATAAATGACCGTTCCCGTTGTTGAACCAGGTGTAAATTTCATAATCTGAGAATTTCCTGTATTGGAAACGAAAAGGTTTCCACTGTTATCTATAGTTATAAAGGTAGCTTGATTGAGCCCAGTACCAACAGTTTCACCGCAGCATCCCAGACAACCGGGTTTTGTCGACGTAATCGGTACTGTGGTTATTGCGGTTGATTCTAACACAAACGAAAATACATAATTTAAGTTTCACTCTTTCAACTATAGTACTTTGCCGTCAAATGCAGGGTGAAATTTTGATTTTTTCAGTTTTGATGGTTTGTGCTCTTTCGCATTTTTTGTAAGCAATAAAAGATAATTATTATGTATTGTGGCTATGGGTTACATAGTGGTTGCCACCATCTACAGTAAACGTTATTTCAAAAAGTGACAGCTATTAACAACTATAAATAATTATTTATTTTACGTATAACTGTTGCTTGTCTTATCCTGATTTTTTTATTTCACTGCTAAGTGTTTGTTATACTTTTATAGATCTGTTATATACCTACACACAGTAGCTGTCATTTGCCAATAGAGATTTGAGTAATTATTCTTTTTACAAAGGAAAAAAGTGGATATTAAGAAGAATGGACTTCTTAGTCTAAGAAAGATAAGAAAACAAGACTTACTTGTTTCTTGACCACTGAATACTCTTTTACAAAAAAGAAAGAGATGAGAAAAACAGTGAATAGAGCAACATCTACTGTACTTACAAAATCCACAGAAAAAGAGTTAACACATCCTCCACGATCATCCTCATCATCAAATTTTTAGCTTGTTTTTATTCGTTTTGTTAAAATGTCTCTGTCTTTCAGAAATGAAAATTCGAAATAAAATTTGTACATCCCATATGAAGCAAAATAATGTTTACTGTTCTACTTCAAAACTAATCAATATATTTTTCTTTTATCATTTCACATGGCTATTTCTTTCTTTCTTCTATTTGAGGATACTTTAGACATTTTCTTTTCTTCAGGTTATTCTTTCTTCTTTCTTTGATTTATTTTTATTGACAAAAAGAAAAATAATAAGACAAGATGTTACATCAATTACGTCAAATGGGATACATCGGATACATAGTCATGACTTGAATGCTATCGGGTAATTTGATCATAACAACAATCTGCTGCTATTTGCTAATGATCGATCAACATTTGATGAATGAATTGTCAAACAAAGTGGCCCGTTAATTGAGCAATGCTAAATTTGAAATTAGAATGCCGCGTACTTTTCCTCCATCATATTTGTTAGTCATCCAGCGTTTGCATCGCAACTGGCATGAAGACGAAGTGTTTAACGAACGGCAACAGCGAATAACAATAAGGTTCTTCGAAGAAATTGACACATATGCACGACCGAGAAAACGCGCCATTGAACTCTGTCCTAGCCGACTTTTCTGCTGAATTATTAGTGCAAAAATCGCAACTGCAGCAGAGGTGTAACCGATACCGGCAACCGGCTCGGTCCGGTCAGAAATTTTTGACCAGCTGGTCGGCCTGCTGATTGAAAGAAAAGTTATTTGACCGACCGCCCAAGCAAAAACGACCCAATTTTTTGGGTTATTTATCTAGATTCAGCTCCACGTGCATCTAGATGTACGTGGAGCTGAATCTAGATAAATAACCCAAAAAATTGGGTCGTTTTTGCTTGGGCGGTAAAAAGAAGAAGCATTTTAGCGTATTTAATTAAAAAATGTCAACTATCCGTAGCAAAACTTTCCGGAATTGCCGAAGATCCTGCCGTAAGCCGAACTTTAACCGGTAAAAAGAAAAAAATTGTTTTTTTCTTAAAAAATCATCACTTTAGCGAAAACGAATTTGTTGACCTAAATAAAACAAACGTTTTCATATTTCAGATTAAGAAAGTTAGTTCAGTTGTCTCTTTTTTGTCAATCGACGAAAAGTAGACGAATTATAAACATATCATACAGAAATCGATTCCTTGTGAGTAGACGTATTCATCCGAGCATCCATATGATGTATTCATCCGTACACAATATGTAAAAATAGGAACGACTCTTTCTACGTAGCATATATTCTCTCTGGTGTGCCTCAGGGGTCTATTCGTACTAACAGCACTGTTTTTAAAATGTTTCCGTTCTAAGGAAAATCCATGTGCTTCACACAAGTGATAGAAAACGATATGTTGAACAAAGTCAGTTTGGATTGGCAGGCTGGCTGGCCGTTCAATCTGACGAAGAGCATTATGAGAGTGAATGTTGTCTCTCTCCTGCCATGCAGAGATCGCCCACCTAAGAAGGGTTTTTATCTTTTTTTGCCTCTAAGCCATTGAAGAAATATTTTATGTAAATAGATAACCTAAACTAAAAATTTTAAACATAAGAATAGAAATAACTAGAAAAGAAAGCGATAGTTGACAAAGAAGATCGGTTGACAGTTGTAATATTATAAATATGGCATTCGATAAAGAATAGTTAAAGCAAATGTGTTTTCCGCACCAACTACAGTTAACAAATGTTGTTTCACTACATTTTAAAATGTAGCAAGGAATAATGGTGGAAGACGAGAATTTTCTGTGATTATGATAGACATCTAGCACTATCACACAAAACATTGTCCGCCGTTCATACTATGTTTTGACTGAGTTATAGAATTTTTCAATAGTTTATGTTATGAATATGACAGGAATTTAAGAACCTAAATATAAAATATTCTAGATCTTGGAGAAAAGGTTCTTTTATATAAATGTTCGTACGGTCCTGAAAATGTAGGATGAACCTGAAAGTTCAGATTCGTCTTCAACATGACAAGAACCGAAGAACCTAGATAAAACATATTTTATCCAGAAAAGGTTAAGATTCGTCATGAGCTGTGAAAGTGATGTGAAGTTCAGAGTTGTTCCAAATAAGAATTCCTCATCCTACGTATAATTGGTACAATGCCAGAAGAATTTTGTGATGAAAAATCAATCGTTACATTGACAGGATCAAAAAAGATTTTTCAAAACGATTATTAAAATTAATGTTAAAATTATTCAATAATCACTGGATATCAACATATAATTCTCATCATCAATATGCTCTAGAATTTTGTCTTAGAAAATGTTATTTTTTCCATTAGGTGATGCTGCACAGTAAGTGATCGTATCAATGTTGTTCTCAATTCTATAATTGAAAATTTTGTTTTCTACTGTTGTAGCATTCACAGTCCTTTCGGTAGTCAAGGTATGAATACGGGTCTTCAAGATGCATTTAATCTTGGCCGGAAATTAGCATTTGTATTGAAAAAACGAGTAATAAATGATGATCAATTACTTGATACATACAATGAAGAACGCCAACGTGTAACTCAAAATCTTGTACATATAACAGATCGTGCTTTTCGTGGTTTAACAAGTAATAATAAGTATACAAAATTTATACGTTTATATATACTGCCAACAATATTCCAATGTATTTTGATACATAATTAGTCTTTTCCTAGTACTAGACTATTGCAATGGATTTTTTATAAAGTTTAGTTTATTGTGATGTTAATTAGCATTTAATATTCAAAAAATTTGTGATAAATAAATAATTAATAAGTTATCACATTGCTCATGAATTAATCATAAGGATTTGTTAAATTAAACAGTTAAAGATGATCGCCTGTTTTATTAGTTATGCTACCGTGCAAAAGTGCAAACTACGGAAAAATCGACGAGAAAATAAATAAATCTATAAGTAGAGCCACGGTGAATGGGCCGAGAACATGTTTTAGATATTGTAGCCGGAGACTGATTCCGAATATGATCATGGGGGTTCTCCATAGCCCTTCACAGGCCCAGTGTTTGGAGAAAACCAGTTTTTCGGAAACTCTAAAAATAACCCAAACCTTTCTTGACAAAGTATGATTGTAGCGCACAAATTTCTGACTAAAATGAGGCATCTTCCGACTCTTCATGACCTTTGTTTGCAAAGTTGCAGAATTTACAAGAAAAGCCCTAAGTTAATTTTTTTCTTCTTATTTCTGTAGCTTTGAGCTGACAATGAACAATTTAGGGCTTTATTATAAATTCTGTAACTTTGCAAAGAAAGGTTATGGAGAGTAGGGGGATGTCTCATTTTAATCGGAAATTTGCGGGCAACAATCATCCTTCGTTAAAAAAGGTTTGGGTTATTTTTTAGAGTTCTAGAAAAACTGGTTGGTTGTAACATAGAGAATAGACTTTTCTCTCATGATTCACTACTGTCTGGATAGCACGTGGCTTTACTACTTATCTAAAATCTTTTTTTTTCACGATTTAGGTGCAATAAGTTTAGAATTGTAGATATTAATACCGGAGCTAATTTAAATCGCATAGATTTCTTTGTGTATAGATTGTGCACGGCATGTAGAGTCATGTACATAGAGAACTAGAAATGATATTCAAAGCTTTTTCACATATTCTGAAGCGAGACATTCTGACCCACCTGTTCACAAATACCATTTATTTTAAACCTTCGACCTAGAAAAAAAGTCGTTTTATTTCTACGGTAAGTGTTTTCCGAAAACTAGTATTTCAGAATTATTAGGTTTCTGTGTTTTCTCATGTACCAAATTCACTGGAACTTTGACAAAATATTCTTCTATTCAGGAAACATCTACACAGATAGCATGAATTACCTTCAAATGTTCCTGGACTCATGTGGTGGAAATATCTCGAAGCCTCGAGAATATATTGATTACAGCATTCTAAAACGCGTTTTGCTAAACCTGCGCTTGCATAGTTTTTTATTTTCAAGCGTTTCTTAAAATCTGAAGTTTTGCAGAAAAATACATTTTCAGAAAATCCACTATGAAGTTCGAGAAACTTTTTATCACATCATAAAGGAAATCAGCTTATTCGAAAAGCTACAGAAAATATATTTATTGAACAGTGTGGACTTACTTCATATACAAGGTCTTCCAGAGACCCTGAGTTTCGTGAAAATCCTAGACAATACATTTTCTAGCTTCGAAAAGTACACCAATGGATAGAGCGCATTAGAAAACCTATAAAAAGTGTGTTTTGATGCTTCTATAATACTCTCAGACCAAATGTTAACGTGCATACTCCAAACTGAGCATTGTGATACCGGCACACAGACAGTCAGTCAGTCAGTCAAACATATAGTCACTCATACCGATATCTTTTGTATACATTACATACGTCACTCATACATATCTTTTATTTTACAAGCGGAGAACAGATTGGTATATATAAATCGAAGAAAGGAAGTAAAATTGCATTTTTTTGTGATTCTTCTTACGCTTGAAATTTCGATATAATATTATTTATTTATAGTATAAATGTGATTAAATTACAATCGCAATTTGTACTCAACAGAGAAAAAGATTAAAGTGAAGATTAATCAGTTTATCTTAGTAGACAATATCATCTCAGATTGTAAGCTAATTGGCTTGGTATATATTTTTCGATTTCCCATTTTTAAGCTAATTAAATAAGAACAAAAATGAAAAAGCTTTCATTTTACTATTAATCGACGGGAAAAAACATACAATTAAGAGAAAACAAAATCGTCGACACCAAATAATTTTTATTCATTGTTTTGAAAATAATGAAGTCCAGCCATTTCCTTCAAAGCTAAAGAGAGGAAGCACCAGAAAGACTTCTAAATTAGTTGATCTTTATTTAGATTGTAATTTTTTTGTGGAATTTATATATACCAATCTGTTCTCCGCTTGTAAAATAAAAGATCGTATTCACTATTGAGAAGATCAGTCAATACGAGCCATTGAAATAATGCTGTTCTCAGGTATAATTTTTTCTCTTTTTGATTGTCATACGTACAGACATACTAGGTAGGTAACCGAAGAAAATGCATATACTAGCTACAACACTCTGTCAGAGTCTGCTTTCATGGAATCTATCATACGAATAAAGAAAGAAAGCTGTTAGGAAAACATGCAGCATACTTTGTTATCAAGATATATACGCTGGTGCACTGATAAGGTTTGTTTTTGGGTCTTGTCATCACCATGTCATCACCATCGTACTAAAATGAACACATTAATTTTCATCAACGGTGTGCGCGATATTTATTATATCTTCGTTTTTTAAAGATATAACAGTGTTGTCTCACAAATCAGAACTCCAACTTTTTTTAAAGGTGATACTCCAGTTGTATAGAAATATTTGCACCAAATTTCGACCAATATATTCTTTTTGCGATTTGAGCAGAGAGAGTTACCAATATAAGTCGAATAAGAAGTTAACGAGTATATTCACGTTTATTGACCTTTTAGTGATACTCTTCTCTTAAGTTGAAAACCTGCACTTTCAATAAAGGTGTAATGAATAGACAATGAAACATAGTTGAAAAGGTCAAATAACGTCCAAGAAGAACGTACCAAATGAAAACAAACAAAACTAATCAAGCGTATCGTCCACCATTCCTCTTTATTTATGATCAGTTCAATGACAGAAATAAATTTAACATATATTCAATTAAATTATTGTAAAATTTTCTTCGACGTAGTTTATCTATACATAAAAGATAATTTCTCATTTCGAAACGTTAATACACTGTGCTTTTAATGTTACAAAGTTACTGTTTAGTTCACTTTGTGATCAAAATATTTCAGTTATTATGGAGAAAATTAACCAAGCAATGTACTCCTGAACCTTCAATTTGCTGCCTTGAAGATTTTCCTGTGGAAATACTGATAGAAATATTTGAGTATATTTCATCAGCCGATGTCTATCAATCATTCTGGAATTTAAACTCGCGTTTCAATTCTATTATGATACAGATTCGTCATTTGACTACATCACTGAGTGACGTTGAATCTAATCAACTTATTCTGAACAAATTTGTCAATTTAAAATCTTTCATACTCGTCGGCAATCACACATGGTATAACTTAAAAAGTGATATTTTCAAACTGCGACATCTAACATCATTAACTCTCATCGATTGTAGTAACTATCATTACAGTGACAATCAATATCTTATCTCTCTCCCAAAGCTCAAACGATTCGTCCTCTTCGGACGTCGAATTGTCGAAAATAAATTCGAATTTATACCATATGCGTTTATCACATCAAAACATCTCAAACATTTGCACGTTCAAAGACGTTATGCGAGCGATTTCGCACTAATGGGTGACACTTTACCGCAACTTAAATCATTGATAGTTGATGAATGGATGTCGTACGGCAGACACCAAAAATTATGGATGAAACCGACACGGACACTCGTCTATCTCGATATCAAAATCAAATTGTCGAATCCCGATAATTTTCATCGAATTTGTCAGTATGTAATAGAATGTTTCCCAAATTTGAAACATCTCGTATTCGGGGTTTTAATTACGATCAAATATTGTTATGTTAACGAAGACAAGTGGCGTTTATTTATGACACCAAAATTAGAAAGTTTCGATTTTATGATGACTGAAGTGCACAGTGATGCCATGATAATACCGGATAGTGAGCGAATAATCGATTCGTTTAAAAGAGATTTCTGGTTAAGTAGATGGCCCAATCTCATATCTTACTCTCCAGACCAAAGTACGATTCGTGTTTATTCAAAAAAGAATCAAAAACAAGTAAAGTATTGTTACTAATGACTGATCGACAGTTTCAAGCAAAAACAATCTCACATTTCACCATAGTTTTGAAGGAAAAAATGTACACTTTATTGTAAAATGAATCTATAGAAATAAAGAATTTTGTTGCTAGACAACTATTTGCTATTTTGTTTCGGTTCATTTCTGTTCTTTCTGCACTCGATCAAGTTACACTATGCGGTGTGTTCATACAGGACGTAGGATGAAAATGACGTTTTTTCATTCTATTTTTTTAAAATTTTATTTAAGCGATGTATATTCTTCTTTTTGATTAAAAGAAAGAGAATGAAAAAAGCGTCATTTCTACGACGGTATGTACTCTCAAAAATAAAGTAATTCATCTCTCTCAAACGTATTTGTACAGCATGGTATTCATCAAGCTACTGCTTTTTGCACGTTTTAACAATGGCGTTTCCTGCACACTTTCTTTACGATTTATTATTCTTTACATCATTGAGCTTCTCTTACGTATGATTCAGCAAAAGAACTTTCAACCCGAAGTAGGCATTCTTCTTTAGATGAGATCTAAGCATCTTATTATGAAGAATATTTATCAGTTTGGCCACATAACCAGGGGCGTATATAACGGGAGGGTGTGGGAGCGTACGCATTCCCCGAATAATTGAAAAAGCTCTTGTTATTGTATCCATTACTCCTCACACAAAATTTTTTTTATCAATTTGACACTACCTCAGAGAGAAATTTTGGTTTACACGCCTGCACGTAACGGTCTCTCAATGATGAAGTCTCAAAATTAGAACGTAGGATTTATACTAATTCGTTATATTTGTAGGATAACCAAATATCCATTTTGTAGTATCACTTGTAGTAAATCATTTACGCTCTGATACTACAAAATGAATATTGTTATTTAGTAAGTGAAAATGAGGAAGTTACTGCTGTGAGTTTGAAATAGAGAAAAAGATCGAAGATCCAAAATTGTTTGA